GCCAGGCCACAGAAAATGGTGGCCTAAAGGGATGACAGTGGATATGAGGAAAGTGGCTAGATTTTAGAACTATTTAGGAGGTTGCAATTCTGTGATTTATAAGAAATATATATTTGGTCATTCAGATGACCAAACATATATTTCTCATATATATTGGATCTTGATCCACAGTTTCTGGCTCACGCACAGCTCCCCAAACCCTTGGGATTCCGAGTGACAAGAACAATGGAGCATCTTTTATTACATTTGGTCTCTCCTCCTCAGTTCCTGAAAATGCTTCAGAGCCATAAAGATGAAATGGATGTCTTATTATTCACAATAAGCCCTTTCCACCACAGCTGGGTTTATGCTAACGAAGCGACTTTTGGAAAGTAGGTAAGGATGAGAGCTGGTTGACAGGGAACCAAATTTGAACTGAGGGCTGGAACTTTCAGTTCCATCCAATTCCTGGGGAGCTGAGAGGGGCTGGAGATTGAATCAATCATCGATGGCCAATGATTTAGTCAATCATTGTATGTACTGTAGCCTCCACAAAAATTGAAAAAGATGGCTTTGGAGAGCTTCCAGGTCAGGGAACCAGAAGGCTTCCATGTGCCACTGTTCTGAGCCCCAAACTCCATGAGGACAGAAGCTCCATTGTTTAGGACCTCACTCCATGTCTCTTCATCTGGCTGTCGATTTGTATCTTTTAATATCCTTTGTAATAAATCAGTAATCCAGTGAGTTAATGGTTTTCCTGTGTTCTGTGAGCCACTCTAGCAAATTAATCGAACCTAAAGAGGAGGTTGTGAGAACCTCTGATTTACAGCCAGTCACTCAGAAGAGTTCAGGTAATAACCTGAACTTGAGACTAGCATCTAAAATCCAAGGAGGGGGTCACAGGAACCTCTAATCTGTAGCTGGTTGGTCAGAAGCATAGGTAACAACCTGGGCTTGTACTGCTGTCTGAAGTGGAGGATGGTCTTGTGGGACTGAGCACTTAACCTGTGGAATCTGATGCTGTCTCCAGGTAGACAGTGTCCTTATTGAGTTAAATTACAGGGCACCCAGCTGGTGTCTGAGAACTGCTTATGGTGTGGAGGAACCACCCCCCCAAACACAAACACACACACAAACACACACACAGAGGAATCGGGTGTAGAACCCTTTTAGAAGTTTTTTAAAATGGCAGAACTTACTGAACAGATATAATTTGAGATTTTTTTTTTAAAGGCTTAATGTACAAGTATAAGTAGAGGTACTACGTTGGCTAAAATCCATTCCCAATAATAAGATCAGCTAATCCAGAATAAATGACTGGCTACCAATCCTTTCCTGTTTTTATTGGCAGAGCAGGGTAGAAGGAAGGAGGGGGACAATAGGGGAGGTGGAATGAAAAGGAAAAAAGATACTAGCTCATAAATTAGGGCAGCGAATGGGAAAAGGGCCAAAAATAGGGAGAGAGGAAATCGGATTGTGCTGACTTTTCCAGTCTGCTCCATGGTGAGCTAACAATCTTTCCCTGGGTTGGAATGAACAAAAGTGGCTCTGAGAAGACTTCACTATCTGAACTTACAACATGATTTACGAAATCTCTTGCTATAAATATTCTCGATTCAAAGGCTATTTCTTACATGAAAATATTAATCACAGAATTCTTAGAAATGGATGGAAACTTAAAGGTCATTTAATCAGGCTTCAGGCTCTTCTTTGCACCTATTGACACTTCAGAAAGATTTCATCTAGAAGTTAAAAGAATAAAGTCCTTCTGTCCAGGTGGTTAATTAAAATGTATCAGGGTTTCAAAAAGAAATAAAGAATTGCTAGGCAAATAAACACTGTCCAAAGATTTAAAATAGCTGGGGGCGGAAAGGAGGATTTAGGTTCTCGAAGATTTTTTCAGCTACTTTGCTGGAGACTTTTATTTTTAAAAATACATAGATGATTAATGACTAATTTCAAGTTGTTCGTCAAGGAGATCATTTTCGCAATAACTTTTTACCAATTTGTTTTAGGAGAAAAAAAAAACTCAGTTGTTCTATTTGGTTTAGGGACCAGTAAGATTTAAATTTTTAATTTCCAAAGCTACTGCATATTTGGCTAATTAATTCTAGCATCTGACAATGAAGAACTAGATGAAAGAATATAAAGTTTTGAATATAATATTAGAAGTTTCTAGAATAGTAAAAACTCCAGATGCATTATACCCTCCTACAGTGCATACTTTAGTAAGCTTATGAAACAAAGATTTTCTCAATAATGTCTGGTCTAAACCTTAAAAAAAGGAAATTGTGGTAGCTAGCCTCCAAGAATGCCAATGGTCCTCAAGCTCCCCTCAGGTAGTCAGTCCCCTCCCACATTGTACCAGGTTTGGTATGTCACTTCCAAGATTAGGTACCAAGATACCACAGTTTCCTTCTTGATTGTCCTCTTTCTCTCCCCTCCCCTTCCCTCCTTCTCCTCTTCTCCTCTTCTCCTCTTCTCCTCTTCTCCTCTTCTCCTCTTCTCCTTTCTCTCTCTCTCTCTCTCTCTGTAATCAAAAGCATAGCACCCTTCTTTAAGGACTACCATCTTCCCTCTGATATGGATTCTGAAGAAAAAAAGAAAGCCAAGATCTACACAGGCCCACTCCCTTCCCTCACTTGCTCTGAGGAAAAAGCTGCCACTTTTTAAAGAGTCCTATGGAGAGGTCCACATGGTGAGGAACTGAGTCCTCCAGCCAACAGTCATGTGATTGAGCCATCTTGGAAGCAGATTCTCCAACCCCAGGCAAGCCTTCAGATGACTCCAACCTCAGGAAAGGTCCCAAAGGCAGAAGCACCCGGCCAAGCTGCTCCCAGATTCCTGAACTTCAGAAACTGTGTGAGATAATAAATGTATGTCCTTTTAAACTGTTAAGGTCAGGTTAATTTATTACACAGCAGTAGAAAATTCATTCAAAAGACAAACTTTGAGGTAGCTAAACAGGACCAAACTACTATATTTCCTTTATCTCACGCCATATACTAAGTAAAATTACATATAGCTTGGACTATTTTAATTTGGCTCAGAGCTAACTTAATGTTTTCTATGTTAATGCCCAATCTAGTGGACCTAAAAGATATTGTATGTAAGTTGCCCACAAAGCACTGACAAAAGCAACGATGACAATAATATATTAGCAATTATCAATTAATAGCACCTTTTTCTGCATTTAGATTTCAAATTTTAAAAAAGGAAAAATTCCCAAAAGATTTGTCTACAATCATAACAGAGAACACTCAGGAAAATTATAAGCAGTTATTTTTTAAAGTAACACAAACTTGAAATTAAGACCTGGATGGCATTTTGTAGTTGCTGTAGTAACCACATATTTTGTGGTTTTGACACTCAGCTTCCACACTCTCTTCATCTTTCTTTCCACTCTCACATCCAAAAGCTCATACACTCTCTTGCCTACTTTACTTTTAGAACATCTAAGAAAACATATACATATACACCCATACTTGTATTCTTAGGTACCTAAAGAACTGAGGAGCTAAGGGAGACAGATCAAGGTCCAATATTATCTCCAAGGCCAGATATTTATCTGGAACCGGTTAGATCAGTGGATCTGTGCCAAGCAGATAGCTGATGCTCAATAAATGTTAGTTTTCCTCCTCCTCCTTACCTACCCCACCCCCTCCCATGCCAGTTCCCCTTTCTTTGGTATTCTGCTCTCTTTGACTCAAGACTTCTCTTCAGCCACATGAACTCACTTTAAAAAACAAATCCAAGTGTCTTGCATATCTAAGAGCACGGGCTGTTTCTTTAGAAGTAGTTGGAGCCAGTGAAAAGTGGGAGGCTTGCACATCACCTTGAGACAAGTTACACTGGAAACCTTAGAAGAATTCACCAAGATCTATTCCAAAACGGCAGTTCTAGGTTGTTATATTGTCTCCAAACTGAACTTTCAGAAAAGGTCTCCAGCGATGTTTCCAACTTCGAAGACTGGATAAGAATTTAGTAACTGAATTCAAAGAGATATTGTGGGATTGGGTGATGTGACACAAAGGATTATCTCAACTCTCTGATTTAAAAATTTCTAGTCTCAAGCCATCTTCAGTCAAGGCAAGAACCTCGAAGAATGAAGGCAAGAATTTAGAGCGTTTCTACTTCCACCTTCTCTACCAAGACCCATTTAGATCCCATTTAAGGCTCTAATTCTTGTTTTCCAATTTTTATGTGTCTAGGTCTGATGTTACCAAAAGATATCTAATAATTTAAACCTCCACTTTTTTCCACCCAAAATCCTGGGAAAGGTTCTACTCTTCAGGCACAGGGAAATCCTGCTGAGAGATCTCAGATAAGAGTACACACTTTTCCAATGAGAAATACCATGAATAGAAAAGGAAGACCTAGATGTGGCCAGAAGAAAGTAGACTGGCTGATGACTAAAATCACAAACAGGGGATGTGGATGCCTGACCTCACTCCCACCCCAATTCTGTCCCACCCCGGCTACCACAAAGAACACCTTATACATTCCTTACTTGTTTAAGACTAACCTTTTTACAGCTGTGGACTCTGCAGCACAGATAAGTGAAAAGCCATGCTCAAGATCACACCATTAATAAAGTTTCAGAACCAGCATCAAACCTAGCTAGGTCTTCACACTCTGCCCTCTTGTTCTTCCCAACATTCAATGCTACCTTTCACAGTCATCCCATTTGTGGGAACTTTCATATTCTAATTCTATTGCTCCAAGTTTTCTGCTTAGAACATGGGTCTCTTACACATCTAAAAGATACGCTGTCTTCTCTGATAATCAGTGCCCATTATCCATCCCCAAAATTTAACACAAAGAAATGAGGTTAGGAAACTAGGACAAAGCAAAAAGTTCACTGTTCTACAAGGGTTCAAATTAAGTCACAAATAACTCAAATGAACAAGCAGCCAAGCCTTTTCCATTGACAATTCTGAATCAGTCCACCAAGCACGAGAACTTCTCCCTAGAAGACTCACCTGATAACACCATCAAAGTTACAACGTTTCCATATTTACCTGAAAATTAGCACAGAAAGGGCAGTGCTCAAACGAGCAGTCTGGACGCAGCTATCTTTGCCACTAGCAGTTCTGAGCCAACCACGGAGAACCTTATATACCTATGAGGGCAAGAAGTGAGGTGTTGAACCCTGGTCCAGGCAAAGAGTTTAAGTCCACTGTGCCTATTAGAAGCCACATTCGGTGCCAATCCCTAGCAGAAAGGAACTAAAGGAAGGGAGGCGGGGGCGCAAACAAACAACTTAATGGTGATTTGCAAGACAGGACCAAAAACGGACCAAACAACTTTGGCACATGACCCCTGTTCAGCCCAAGTTCTTAAGGTACTGATAGGTTTCTGCAACACTTTAGTTCTCATTCTGCCCACAACAGCAACTAAAGGACTAAGGAAGTGGACCATCCTCGGGCCGAAGGCCTGAAAGGGCAGGAAGTGGAAGCAGAGGCCATTTGTGGGAAAAGGAAAGGAGCAGCGAAATGGGAGAGGCTAGGGCACCGCCCCCATTTCCTCAGCCCCAAACCCGTCTGGAAGGCCTGAAGGCTTTCTCTAGGGAACTTCCCAAAGCCGCTGCTCCCGCGTCGCCCTCCGCCCGCCTCGGGGCGCGACGTGTCCGACCGCCCGCCACAGCCCTGCGCTGAGAGCGCGGGGGCAAGAAGCCACCCACTTCCCCAGCGCGAGCCCCACCCTGCCTGGAGGCACTCCTGCCGAGGCGCAGACACTCACCTAAGACCCGTCCGGCGCTGCCTCGGCCGTCCGCACCCGGCCCGCCGCTCTTAAACCCGCCCCGCCCTCCCCTTGGCCTTCTCCCGGGGCCGGACCCCAGCCGTCCCCAGCCGATTTGTCATTGAGCAGCCGGGACTCGCTTCCCCACCCCCGAGCGCGCCCCCGGCGTCGCCTAGGCAACCCCGCCTCGCGAGAACGCGCCCTCCCTTCCGCTCCGGTCCCCTAGTGGCCACGCCCACTGAGTGCCTATTAGCCAATCTAAGGCGGCGCTTCCAAGCCGTGCTGGGCGGGAGGGGCGGGCTCGGCAGGCCTGCACCGCCCCGCTCCATATCTTCGTTTCCGCGGCGGAGCGCGCTGCACGTGACCGCTGCTGCAGTGGAGGAATCTGGAGCCGGATTTGACGGGTGGGGCTGTTATGAGCGTGGGCAGGCTGAGGGTGCTTCTGTCATGGATTTAGGTGAGGGCGAGGCCAAAGTAGTGGAAAGCAAAAGGAAAGGACAGACCTGAGACAGAAAGGAAAATTAGGTGGCGCGCAGGTGTGTAAGGGTCCAGGAGGCTGTTGGGACACCAGTCAGGGGCTCCTGAAGCGTAACCACCACCTGCGGCCACGACTTGCTTGGCTAACGATGTCCCATTAGCAGTTACTTGACTAATTCCTAGCAATAACTTGACCCAAGTCACAAGGTCAAGAAACCTAGCTGTAGCCTTGAGGCAGGAAGTACAGTGGGCAAGCTCATGACCGACAGGTTTTTCTCCCGCAGTGTGCCCCCATCATCGTCCTCCAAAGGCAGGGAACTGTTAATTCTCTATCCAAATAGGGCTTTACCTTGGATTGATTTTCGTAACCAACCTCCCCTTCCTGGAGCTGAAGCCTCCTTCTCCCTCCACAGAATTTGTGGCTCCATTGACCCCTACACAAAGCTCAGGGCACGCCACACTGTATTGCAATTCCTTGTTTAAATATCTGCCTCTATAATCTCTGGGGAAGGAAACTAGTTCTTGTTCAATTTGATAGCACAATTTGATAGCAGCTAGCACCGTGTAATTAATTCTTCCGTTGTTAAATATACATTAGGTTACATGTGTGTTATATGAGAGGCTTTGTGCCTTGATTAGATTGCTATGTATAAGCAACTAACAGATCCAGGCCCTCTACCAACAGCTATTACCAAAAAGCACAGAAGCTTTACCTGAGTCTTAAGTAACAGGCTTAACAAAAACACACGTAAGGAGAATATCCAAGTGTTAGTCTGCTATATTAGGTATCCTGTTTTTAGCCTTTCATATACATTAAAGACTTCTATTGCATTCTTATTACATGACAGAAACTGCTAGGTACTATAAGGGAGAAGGGGTAGAAGTCTTCTCAAAAAGGAAGCTCTCTGATATTTGTAACCTAGAAATCAGACCCAAACCTGTACAGTAACAAGTGCGCAGGTTTGGAATCAAGAAGCATAGGTTGAAAGGAGGGCTCTATCATATAACTAGCAATTACTTAATTAGGAAGTTAGGTAACCACTGGACCTCACTTTCTCGAGGTTCCCAGTAGGAGCAGCATCTCCATATTGTAAGTGTGAAGATTTAAATGAGATTACATGTAAAACTTTCAGTGCAGTGCTAGGAACTTGTGAGTGCTCAAGAAATGTTAGCTTAGATTGTGATTGGCAACAGAAACCATGATGTATACTCGAGCATCATGGTGCAAACAATGCTGTGGGCAGCCTGGTGGAAAGAACCTGCTGTGGTGGTACTGTTTTATCAAATGCAAGTTTAAACCGGAGAGCTGTCTGCAACAGCCCACCCAAATAAAATGAGTGGTTAGGGGAACAGGATCAGGATCATGGGCACTGGGTAGGATTGAACTTCCTAGCTCCCTGTGACTGAGTGAGGCTGGGTGACTAGCTGTAAATGACTTGTGAACAGAAGTGACATAAATCAATTTTGGACTGGAGAATGCATTTGCCAGTGCAAGACCCTCCAAAGCTCTTGCCTCTATGGTATGGTCACTGGGGATGTTTGGGAGTGTAGCTGCTCCATCAGCACAGAGCATCCTCCCAATCTGCCACTACCAACCTGTGATGGACATTTAGCACGATTGAGAAACAAACCTTCGTGGTTTGAAGGTACTAAGATTTGGGAGTTGTTTGTTACTGCCACATAGCTTAGCCTGCTCTGACTGATACAGGGCCCTAAAGTGTGCCAACCTGGGACACAGTGCTAAACAACTCAGACCAAAGAACAGATAATAAATCAGTATACAGACAAGCAACTAGATAATGACAAATTGTGTCATTCAGATCACTTGAGACTGGGTAGCCAAAAAGGTCTGTCTCTCTTAGGAGGTGACCTTTAAGCTAGGACTTGAAGGATAAAAATTAATCAATCCTGGAAAAAGTTGGGAGTAAGGGGAAGGAGAGGAGAATATTTCCAGCAAAGTAACAAGTATGCATTAACTCCAACAGCAGAAAAAACCTAGGTACTCCTGAGAACAGAGAGGAAGCCTGGATGGAGTGCCGGGTCAGGGCGAAAGTGAGGCTACATGGGATGGAGAGGGAGGTAGGAGCCAGATTATGTGGGTGGAGGCTTCTAGGTTATGATAAAAAGATTGGAATTATGAGTATGAAGCTCATACTCATGAGGAGGTTCAAACCAGGAGGATGACATGCTTTGCTTTTAGGTGTTAAAAAGACCACTCTAGCTATTGTGTGGAGAATAGGCTATAAAGGGCAGATGTGGCAATGGACCCCTAGAAAAGGCTGTTCTGGGAGTCCAAGCAAAGTGGGGTTCATGGGGCCAGAGGCCAGAAGGGTAATTAGACATAGGGAGATAGCAGGAGACTTGGGGAGATTGCAGGTGGAGGGGAGCAAGAGACCTCATGATTAAACCAGGGGATCCTGCCAAATCCTAGAGGAAGTAGAGGAAAGATTGGAATCAGGCTCCCCTGCCCCCGCCCCCCGCAGAGGTGCTTTGACCCCAAATAGAATGGGTGAGGGTGTGTAGAGGACAACTGAACAATTTCCTAGAACATCAGCCAGCAGACAGCAGCCGACATTAGAGACTTGCTCCCATGAGCGGGCAGTATTATATAAATAGATAGTATTATTAGAGTCTGACAAGCTCTGGCATCCTTGTGGACATTTGATATTTGGTGATACCTTGATTAGAAAATAAACAGAGCTGCCAGTCTACTGTGAACAGCAAAGCTAGATGGAGTTCATCTTTAGCACTGCTGCCATCTCTCTATTCTGTGTTTCTCAAGCCCTGTGTCCAAATGTTCTCTCCCCACTTCCTGCTCTCTCAACCTATTCTCAGTAGCGGGTCTCATACGCAGGAATAAATGATGAATAACAGTTCAATTGGTACCCACTCCTTCTTGGCCATTTGTATCATCCAGTTGATCAAAACCAAAAGTCCTAGAGCAGGGGAAGTACTAGGGGAGGACCTGAGAGCTTTCATTCACACTGCAAGGATGGAGTGATTTATTCCTCCTCATTACCATCTTCCTATGTTGTCTCTACATAGGAAGCCAGGGAGAACTAACCAGATAGATGTTCCTGGGAATTGCTTTTCTGGAAAGGCAGGGTCCCAAGTAATTACCTAGAGGATGAGCTTTCATCTTCCAAAAGAAATTAATCTACCAGGAAACATATTAGAAAAAAATGATTTATTTCTATTTTAAATTATTAAATTAGCTGGACGTATCTTTTGCCATCATAGTTTACAAAGAATTATCTCCCAGAAATGAAGTCAAGCCTGTTTTTGTCATTGAGTAATAAGTCATCATTATTGTTAATCCCCACTACCTGACGGCACATGTTTTCCCCTTCCTTTCATCTGTGTGGAGACACGTGTGCCCTGCTTCCAAAAATCACTGTAAACAGTCACTACGGATCTGGTGCTGAACTAGATAAAAAGCCCCTGCAGGGTGACAGCCACAAAGCACTGATTGTGAAATAAAACAAGATTTAAGTGTCTGGAATCTGTGCTGAGATCTCTCCAATGTGAAATATTATCCACAGTCTCCCGGGAAACCAGCATGAAAAGATCCTGTGAGCCCCTCCTTCTATCCCAACTTAGACTCCTGATCACATTGCAAAGTCTTCATGGATGCTGCCTTGATTACAAATGCACTGGGGGCCTGGACTCACCCACAGAACGCCTCCTGGCCTCCTTGGTGACTCCTTGGTCCCTTGGACACTGGAGCTCTTGAGGGTCCTGTCTCAGCCACATTCCCTGGGGCATTCCCTGGGGCATTCCCTGGGGATCCCCCTCTATATTTGAATCTCACTCATCCGGTGCATGCTGTAGAGAAGCAGTGTCCCCTGCAACCCACCCACTGGGCTGACCCCTCAGCCAACCTCTATGCAGCCTCTGTCACTCTGCCCCTCCCATCCACAAATATCAACCCCCCAACCCCCCACCCCACCAAGTGATTTTTTAAAATGTGGTTTTCTTTTTTATTGGGCAGCCTCATCTCTTCCCTTGCATCTGCTCCTGAGAGCAGGGCCAGGCCAAAGGGTCAGAGGTCTAAGGAATTTTGAGTGGTGCGTGGGTGATAAGGAAGCCCTGAGTCAGGAGACCCCTGCTTTGAAAAGAAAGCAACAGTTTTCTGCAGTCATACCGCCCCCTCCCTTCGCCCCCAGCCTCCCGCCCATAGTTCCTCCCCCTGAAGCAAAACCACAAAACATTAAGATGCATATCTCTGGGGTGGGCGTTGGGGGACAATTCCCCTTCCTAGAAGATGTTTTCCTGTGGAGTTTTAATTCTTTAATGGTCAAGAAGAAATTTAGCAAACAAGAACAAAAATAAAGCATCTATGAGGTTCATGTAGCCCCAGGGGTAGGAAAGCTGCATCCTCTGCAAGTTCGCATAAAGGCCAGGCCCCCACTGGGAAAGTTCCAGAAGGGCAGGGTGACTAGGATCACACTCCTGCATGGGGGAGGGGTACACACAGGGCCTCCTCTTACAACATGTGTAGGTGACACATCCAGCCTTGGCACGCAGGGCCGTAAATTGCAGGAAGCATTTGCCTCTCCAGGTAGTGGTGCTGACGCAGACGCAGGGCCTCCTCAGCCTGGCAGCACAACA